TAGTCATCTTCCCGAGTAACTATGTCCTGTCAGCGTTACCTGCTTTCAAATTCCTCCCGTGTCTCCAATCTACACTGAAAGCCGCAGTAGCTAACAACAATGGTGAGCATTTTCTATTGGCAGGCATCTTTCCTGGCATTTTACAAATACCTCTAATCCCTATGATATTACTGTCCCCACATAAAGGCCCAAAAGGTCCAAATACACTAAGTGGTTTGTTCAAATCACACAGTGATTAGCAGAACCCACTTTCATTCCTCCAACGACTCAAGGACAAACGCCTCCATCATTCTCCATTTGCCTATAGGACAGAAGCCAACCGTCCCACTGGCAGGCTAGGTGCCATGCTATCCGTCCATGCTTATCTCCTGATGGGCTCCAACTTGACTCCTCTGTTCCAGACTGGCATGTCTGTGCCCTCTCCCCCAACCTGTGGGCTTTCTCCCAGCACGCAGACTTCCATCCATTGTTCCCATGACCTAGAATGTCCTGTTTCTTATTTATTCCCCCTCAGATCCACAGTCACTGCAGGAGAGCTGTCTTCCATCTCGTCAAAAGTCTTCCTCATTAAATGCTTAGCCATCCAAGGCCCCCTTCTACCTGCAGTCCTATTGCTTACCTCAGTCCTGGGGCATGGCTTGCATACATCTGTGCTCAGACTGCTGACTCAACTACATACTTGACATGGTCAGCTTGTATTTTCACTCATACAGTCCCTCACTTTAGCGCCAACCCTGAGGAATTTTTCCTTGACTGGTTGCATCATGATCTGGAGCAAAAGCAATTCCCACGGACAAAATGGAGAATTGGTAAATTTATCATTGGTCCCTTCAAATGGAGCAGTTCTTCTCACATGTAGAAGATGTGCCTGTATATGTAGTTTATGTCTTACTACTATGTGCCTGTATATGTAGTCTATGTCTTACTACTATGTGCCTGCATATGGAGTCTATGTCTTACTACTATGTGCCTGTATATGGAGTCTATGTCTTACTACTATGCCAGATATTTTTCTAAATATGCCACAATATCAGCAGCCTTAATCCTCTTACCAACCACCTGGCTTGGAGTTAACTATTATCTCTTCCATTTTACAGATGAAGGGACTGAGTCATGGGTAGCTTGTCTAAGATCATCATACCCTGCCATGGCAATACAATGATGCATTGTTTTTTCTGAGAGTGAAAGTAATGTTTACTATTTAAAAAAATCAGAAGCCTTGAAGGCACAGCTTTGCATTAGCATTGACTGACTTAACATGTAGGAAGCCCTGTGTTCCATCCTCAGCACACCTCCAAAACAAACAAAGAAACCCAATAATACAATGGAAGCATATCATTCAAGATCTGATCATCTACAGAGAATTAAATAAGCAAATTAACCATGCCTATGTATTCATTTGTATTTTGAAAATTGAACTATCCTGTATACCATGGATGCTTTCTTTTTTACTTTTATGAGTATTATGCCTGCATGTATGTAAGTGCACCCGTGTTGTGCAGTGGCTGTGGAGGCCAGAAGAGGGTGTTGGATCCCCTGGAACTGGAGTTACTGGACAGTTGTTAGCCACCATGTGAGTGGGGGAAATCAAACTCAGGTCTTCTGCAAGAGCAACCAGTGATCTTAACCACTGAACTATCTCTCCAGCCCCAAGGGTGATTTCTTTTAATTCAAAATTTTAAATTGCTTCATTGAGGAATAATACACACACACACACACACACACACACACACACACACACACACACATGCACACCCTTGCACACACACAGACATCAGAAAATTCACTCATTTTATTTTTTGATACTTTATTATTTTTATTTTACATGCGTGAGAGTATTGCCTGCATGTTTGTAAGTGCACCCATGCCATGAAATGCCCTTGGAAGTCAAACGAGGGCATCGGATCCCCTGGAACTGGAGTTACAGACAGTTATTAGCTATCATGTGAGTGCTAGGAACCCAACCCAGGTCCTCTGCAACAGCAGCCAGTGTTCTTAAGTGCTGAGTCATCTCTCTAGCCCCAAATTCATCTGTTTTAATTGTACCGTAATTTTAGTAAATTTGCCAAGTTCTGAAGCTCTTACAGTTTTAGATCATTCCGTTGCCTCATAAAAATACTTTGTACCCATTTATATGCAGTCCCAGTTCCTACCCACAGCCATTAGTAATTGCTAATCTGTTTTCTTTCTGTATTGATTCGCTTCTCCTGGACATTTCATTTAAGTGGTTGTTTGAATCTGGTATTATTTTTACCCAGAATGATGGTGTGTGTGTGTGTGTGTGTGTGTGTGTGTGTGTGTGTGTGTTATGGGCACATGTGCTTCACATGTGTCAAGGCTAGAGACTGACATCAGGTATTAATGTTGGGTATCTTCCCCAATCTCTCTCTACCTCGTACATTAAGGTGAATCTCTCACTTGAACCCAGAGCTCACTGGTCGGCTGGTCTAGTCAGCCAGTTTGTCCAGATGATCCCCTGTCCCTGCCTCCTAGAAGCTGAGATTACAGGCAGCGTGTCACACCTGCCTGGCCTGTGGGTGCTAGGGATCCAAATTTTGTCCACCGAGCCATCTTCCCTGCCCCAGAATGTTTTTAAGGCTCACCCATGATGCAGCATGTATCACTATGTCACTCCTTTTAATGGCTGAATAATAAACATTTCATATGTAGATATAGCGAATTGGTTTACAGGACATTCGGACTGTTTCAAATGAGTAACATTGCTATGAATTTTCATGCTTTGTTTTTCTGGGGATAAATACGTAGAATTTTTGGGTCATACAGTAAACAATTCAAAGTGACTCTATTCTACATCTCTATGAAAATATATGAGGGTTATAGTTTCTCCACATTTCACCATTGTGTATTGTCTGCGAGATGTTTTTGTTAGTAGTTGTCACTTAAAAATTTTGTCAAGACTGGATCTCACTATGTATGCCAGGCTGGTCTAAAACTTGATACCCTCTTGCCTCTGCCTCCTGAGTGATGGATTATAGGTGTGTGCCACCATGGTTGTCTTGTCTGTGTTTTAATCATAGACACCCTAGTGAGTGTGAAGCAATACCTTCTTGTAGTTTTGATTTATATCTAATGGTGTGGAGCATCTTTCCATGTGCTTATTGGCTGTGTGTGTGTGTGTGTGTGTGTGTGTGTCTTTGTGTCTGTGTCTGCATGTCTCATGTATGCATCTTTGCATTTGCTTGTCTGTGCATGTGTATGTGGAGGCCAAAGTTTGGCTTCAGGTATCTTCTTCTATTACTGTCCATTTTAGTTTTTGAGACGGGGTCTCTCACCAAACCTAGAGCACACTGTTTCAACTAGAATGGCCTCCATGCCCCCAGTGTTGGGGTAGAGATGGGGGCTGCCATCCCCAGCTTTTATGTGTGTGTGGGTCAGAGCTCAAGTGCTCAGGTACTTTTCCCACTAAACCATCTCCCCAGTCCCATTTTTTGTTGTTGAAATGTCTATTAAACTCTTGCGCCCATTTTTCATCTGTGTTCCTTTGCATGCATGCACACGTGTGTATGTGAGTATTCATGTGTGTATGTATATGGTGTTGAGAATCAAACTCAGGGCCGTAAGCATGCTAAGCAGGCATTTTGTCACTGAGCTTCATCCCCCGCATCCTGTTTTAAATTATTGAACCAGAACAGCTCTTTTAAAAAAATATTTTATTTTCATTATTTTTATCTTTTGTGTATGAGTGTATTGATTGCATGTACGTAAGTGTACCCATGTCATGCAAGGCCCGTGGAGGTCAGAGGAGGGCATTGGATTCCCCTGGAACTGGAGTTATGGATGGTTGTTAGCTGCCAAGTAGGTGCTGGGACTTGAACCCAGATCCTCCACAAGAGCAGACAGTACTCTTAAACTGCTGAGCCATCTCTCCAGCCCCCCAATAGTTCTTTATATTGGGGCTTGGAGAAATGGATCAGCAGTTAAGAACACTTATTGCTCCTCCAGAGGACCTGAGTTTGGTCCCTAGCACTCATATGGCAGCTAACACACGTCCTTAATTCCAGGTTCAGGGGTTCTGACCCCCTTTTCTGGCCTCCGTGGACATCAGACACACACGATGTACTTGCATACATGCAGTCAAGACATTCATTCACATAAACTAAAAATAAAATCTTAAAAACTAGTTCTTTATATTCTGGATACATATTCTCCACCAGACTTAAGATTTTAAATCCTTTCTCAGTTTCTGACTTATGTTTTCATTTTTTAAATGGTGTTTTAAAAAAGATTTATTTTTATTTTATGTTTGTGTTTTGCTTGTATTTATGGGTATGTACCATGTGTGTGCCTGGTGTCTATGGAGACCAGAAGAGGGCGTTGGAGCCCCTGGACTGGAATTACAGCCAGTTGTAAGTCAGTTTGTGGGTTCTGTGAACTGAACCTGGGTTTTCTGCAAAAGAGGCGAGTGCCCTTAACTGCTGAGCCATCTCTTTAGCCCTTATTAATTATTTTTATGTGTATGTGTTTTGCCTATATAAGTGTACCACATGCATGCAATGCCTGCAGAGGCCAGAAGAAGTCGTCAGATCCCTTAAAACTGGAGTTACTGTTGTGGGCTGCCATGTGAGTCCTGGGAACAGAACCCAGATCTTTCTTAAGAGCAGACAGTACACTTGACTGCTGAGCCATCTCTCTTGTCCCTTGTGTTTGGTTTTGAGTCACTGTGTCACTAGGCAGCCCAAGTGGGCCTCAGACTTTTGGTAATTCTCCTGCCTCAACCTCCTGAGAGCTGAGATTACAGGCAAACACCACTACGTTGGCTCTGGAAAAGTAGCTGTGGAGGTTTCTGCAAGTCACTGTATGCCTAGGCCATAAATATGAATCACAATGTCTATACAGGGGCTGTCCCTGGTGTCAAGGAGAGCAGCTTCAGTCTAAGGCAGAGGACAAGTTAGTCTAGGGGGCTGGAGGGTGCAGTGAAAGAACAGGGAAGAAATATTACTGTAAAGGTTCTATCTAAATTCAATGTTCTGTAAGTGTCTTCAACTTAAAAACTGAAAAGAAAACAAGAATTAAAGGAGGAACTTCAGACTAAAGACATACGAAGCAATACCACACAAAATGATCCCAATGGGGAATCGGAAAGGTGGCCACTGATAGGGTATTGGATGATATTAAGGATTAAGTCAGTTTCTAAAATTAATTTATTTAATTTTGTGTGTTTAAGTGTTATGCCTGTATGTCTATAAATGTGCCCTTGTCATGCAGTGCCCACAGAGAACAGAAGAGGACGTCCAATGCCCTGGAACCGGAGTTATGGATAGTTGTTAGCTAGTTGCCATGTGGGTTCTGGGATTCAAAGCTGTGTTTTCTGCAAGAACAGTTGGTGCTCTTAACTGCTGAGCCATCTCTCCCATCTGGATTGTCAGTTTTAAGGTCTTTTGGGTTTTATTTGTTTGTTTGTTTGTTTGTTTGTTTGTTTGTTTTGAGAAAAGTTCTCCCTGTAGCCCCAGCTGTCCTGGAACTCACTATGTAGACCAGGCTGGCCTTGAACTCATAGACATCTGCCCACCTCTGCCTCCCAAGTACACGGATTAAAGGCATGAGCCACCACACCCGGCTTAAGATCTTTTTGTGTTGGCTAAAAAAGAGCCCTGTATTCAAGATACATGCTACAATGTTCATGAATGGACTGACATGATGTCAGGGACTTGCTTCAAAATAATACTCATTGATGTAAACCTTGGCTAAAGGGATCAATAAGCACAAGAGTGGAAGCTGGTGTGGCCAGGTGAGTCTCAGGACTGTCTCTAAATGAGGATTCTGCAGCAGAGTGCAAAGGCAAGAGGAAGGGCAGGAGACTGGCAGAGCAGAGGCTTTGACACTGGCCCCTTTACAGCCCATCCATCTGGGCTGTGACCACTGGCGCATGGGAGAAGCAGCTGGACTCAGATCTGGAAATGCTTCATAGGGATCCTTGCTAGGAGTGGTGTCTATCATAAGTGGGCTCAAGCTGCCTCTCATCTACAGAACATGACTCAGTGAGCTCTGATGCTATAGATAAAGTGAAGTAGCCCTGGACACTTTGCATCTACTTAACATTCTGATGTGGTGACATCTAAATGAGTAAGGACTCTTTCCCAGCCCGATATTCCTCCCATCCTGTCAGAACAATGTGCTCTCAGAAAACACAAGGTGCTGATGACTACTCCAGAGAACACAGTGAGCACCCACAGGCATGCCTAAGGGAAAGGGAAGTGGGTGGGAGAAGGTGATCCAAGACCACAGTGGACAGGAAGCAGCTGCTGGCCAGCTGCTGATTACCTCAGCAGAATGCATGAAGTAGTTGGATGGCAGTTTTTCCAAGGCAACTGGGAGACAGTAGGATCCAGTTTGAAGACGTTCATTTAGGAGAATCGGCAGCCACTGAAACAGATGATGTCGAGAGCAAAGCAGTTTTTAATCACAGCACAGGACTCTGGCAATTTATCTAGCTCATGGCAATCAAATGCAGCTAAACAACAATTAGATATTGACCAGGTCGCCTTCTGGAAGTAGTTTCTGTCCAGTTCTTTGCACTATAAATTTCCTGAGAGTTCTTGAGATGGGAGTATCAATGGTTTGCTGCTTCCAGAGCCCAAGTAGTAGCATTTTTCTTTATAGCCTGTGTGTGTGTGTGTGTGTGTGTGTGTGTGTGTACGTACTCCAATATTCATTTTATCCTTAAAAAAATTTTAAAGGACTAACTTTTCCCCCTGGAAAAGAAGGAAAGAGAGAATTTTATCTGTGACGCGCATATATTAAATTTGGAAATAACAGATATTGCAATGCCCTTTTCTTACATTAATGAACATTCTTTAAAGACTCACCAGCCACCAGCTTTCTTTCCATTTGTAGAATGTGCCATTTGCTAGTCATTCCTGCTCTCTGCTGTCTCTTGGATGGCACATTTGGCAACTTCTGACAGAAGACAAGAGAAGAGGATGCAGTCGCCATCTCTGCAGGGACCTGGGCTTCACCAGGGACTGCAGTGCCAACTGGCAAGTTGAAAACAACTCACTGAATATCCCAGAAGACTTTCTCCAGAGGTTCCCTGCTTCTGCTGACAGCTGATGTGATAGAAGGTGAACAGGAGGTGGTGATTTACTGTGAGCTTAGCAGGGAGCTTAATTTTCACTTCTTCATAAAAGTCAGGAGACCTGTATCAAGAGCACAAGGTACACAAATAACTTTTAGCAGGGTGAACGTCCCTGAGTATGAGAAGTAACACCTTGGACCCTTTGCCCCTATGTGCTGTGTGCTGCTGGGTTTTTCATTTTACATTATTCTGCTTCTAAGCTCCAAGTCCTTGAGGCCAAGTTGAAGCTATTAGAAATATTTCATTTAATGCCGAGAGTAGTGGTGCACACCTTTAATCTCAGCATGGGAGAAGTTTAAAAAAACCCAAGGCCAGCCTGGTGTGTATACATAGTGAGTTCCAGGCCAGCTGGGGCTACAGGGAGACTTTGTCTCAAAAAAGACCAAAAAATAAGGACTGGACAGATGGCTCAGTGGTTAAGAACACTGGTTGTTCTTCCAGAAGACCTGAGTTCAAAACCCAGCACCCACATGGCAGCTAACAACTGTCTGTAACTCCAGTCCCAGAGGATCTGACAGTCTCTTCTGTCCTCCGCAGGCATTGCACGACACAGGTGCACCTACATACAGGCAATACACACATACACATAAAAAAAACCCCACAATAAATAAAATTTAAAAGAAAGAAAAGAAAAAGAAATATTTCACTTAACAAAAAACTGTTCATAACCTGAAGCCTTTGTCAAGAGGAAAGGAATTTCTTCACACAATGGAAAATTTCAAGAATTTAATTTGAAAAGGGATAAGGTTCAGAGTCCTGCTATGAACTCTTTTCCCAACTCTACCCCAAGAACAGGGCCTGGCATGTGGCTGTTCTCATCAATGAACTGGAGAAACAAATGGGTGATGCAGGAAGGAGTCTAGCCAGTGTTTAATGAAACACTTAAACGATTCTGTTTCTCTGGCCAGCAGCAAAACCCTACCTGGCATCATAGAGATGTTCCTCCCCTACCCGTGAAATATGATTAACAGTTTAGACAGTCCCATGATTCAGGTGACTGACATAACTGAATGTTCTATTTTTCCTGTGGCCAGCTTAATGGGGCAGGGGACAAAGAGAGTTGGCCTTTGTTTCTGGCTCTCTCTAGTGTATCAAAGCAAGTGAGAAAATACTCTTCCTTATTTAATACTAAATAATCTCTCTATCATAGTTTAAAAAGTTCCAAATCATATTAGATTCTTGAACACATTTTCTCCTGTTAGTCTTATTTACTTACAAATATCATACACTGCCAACACAGAATTATGGAGCTGCCATAAATCTTCTCTGTGTCTTAGTCTCTATGTTACAAAAACTGTTGAGAAAAGCCCTCCAGGAGTTAAACCAAACAAACAACTAGGAGCTACCGAAACAACCACATCATATGTTCAGAACTCTGAAATATACTCACTTATTATGGTATGTAATGGCTGTGTACACTTCCTGCAGAAACTCAGGCCCATTGGACTTCCCAAAGATGACCTGTTTGTCAATATGGAAAGAACAAAATGAAGAGTGACTTTTGGTTATATCCAATCCTGTCCTATTACATTAGCAGGATACTCGGGCCCACAGAGCTATGCTACACAAGTTAAGAGGGCTGGGTCCTACAATTGGCCCAATCTTACCAACTAGATCTGGCTATGCAGAGTAAACTAAGGTGGCAAGGGACTAACTAGTGGCCAAGGGCCACAGGTTTGTGAGATTGAAAAACCAGGACTTAACGTCTCAGTGCCCAGACACAACATAATAAAGTCACATTAATTTGTCCTCAGAACAGGCTAGGGTCTTCTCTTTTCCAAAGACATGAACTTGACTACGTGGGTGATTTCGGTCTCCACTGCCCTGTCCACCTGTGTGCAGATACCTCATTGGGTCTGTTGTAACCCCCAATAGTACATGGCCCCCAATAGTGTAGCCCCCAATAGTGGACTTGCTCCCCTGGGAAAAGGAAAAAGCCCTTTCCTCTAGATTCAGCAATCCTCAGACCAGGTCCAGGGCTTGGTGAGTGGAAAACAGGCTGAAATTTACCCACACTGTCAGCCAGCTAAGTATCTTGGCTACACATGAGATCTGAATAGGTATACCTATTCAGGCATGGTGATGACCTGCAAGGGCCAGAAGACTAAGGGAGCCCCCCAGACATCTCCTCCTTTCCAAGCGCCCTTCCTCTTTCACCCTTCCCTTTCCTACCACTGTTGGAAGATGGCACCTTGCATTAGAAAATGGGCAAGACATTCGGAGGATGATTTTCTTAGAAAGTGGATATATGAGGAGTGGTCATGCTGGGAGAAAATCATTTCAGTAGGAAGGGATGTAAGAAAAGCGTTACACATGTCTGTGTACCAGTATGGGGAGGAAGGGATCAAAGCCAGGACATCATACATGCTAAGCAAGTGCTCTACCAGTGAGCTACAATTTATGACTTGTGGACATGGTAATAGCTAACCAGCCATGTCGTTCATTAGGAAATTCTGACAGTTTGGTGTTTTTAGAGAATACTGTTTTAATATGTGTTATTTGATTTAATTTTGCCTTAGGATAGATTCATTCTAAAAGGTGTTAAGGTGGTGTATGTTTTGCTAGGCTGTGCTTCATTTTTGTGGTATATGGTCTCATGTTCTCCTAAGCACATATGTGGAAGAAATTCGGCAAAAGAACGAACATCGAGTCAATCTCTTTAATTTTCTAGAATGGAGTGGTATGGCTCCATGGGCAATGTGGAGAGACCTTATGATATCGTTCAATCCTTTAAAACGATTTTCCAAGTTGAGACATCTCATAGTGGCATAAGTTGGGAAACATACTCAATTTAGACTGATGCTGTTTCCTCATCATCATCCTGGGAATAATACTAATCTAGCCAAAAAAGGCTCTGTGTGTTTTACGTAGACTGTGCTGGAACAGAATACACTATACATTGATCTGGAGAGCTCAGTGGTCAAGCACTTGCCTGGCATACAAGAAGCCCTGGATGGGGGAGGGGGGCGGTGGCAGAAATGCTCTGAACACCGATGAACTCTAGATTTTTGCCAATGTGAGTTGACAAAGGAAGCACAGCCCACCCTAGGCAAATGTTACTCCTCTTTGCCGGCATAGCATTGCTAGGATCTTCTCCACACATAAACTGGATTTTTATTGTAATGTTCCTGGTAGATGCGAGTTTGTTAGCAAAGTTCAGTCTCTGTGGGTAGACATATAGAAGATTTCTAGAAAAAAAAGAAACCTAATAATCAGTATCTAGAGTTTTCTTCCATTTCCTGTTCTTAGTTCCAGAAGTTGCTTCTGAGGTGGTGGCAGAAACGTGTGGTCTTTGTGAGACTCCACCATATACAGTGGCCAGCCAGGGTCATGGGTACAGAAAGGGATGGTGCAGCTCAATAGCATTATCTTCGGACCTCGGGTTCAGGTGTGGCTCTATGAGCAACAGAATGTGAGGGCAGAGGATTATGTCAAAACCTTGATGAGAACATGAACCTCATATTAGCTGTTTTCATTCTAAAACAAAGTCAAGAAAGCAACTTGGTCGGATCATGTTAAAAGAAGGTAACTGTTAGGGTTCCAAATAGCAGCAGTTTCCCCCTCCCCAACAGGGACCTCACCTTGACCTTTGGAGTCAAGGGAAACAAACTCTGCTGAGAAGCAGCCTGCCTCTCCTCTGATCTCCAAAGATAAGATAAGCAGATTCTACCTGTTAACCAGAGATTTTAGAAGCTGTTTATCACAACAAGCTTTTCTCTTATCTTAAGAGAGAAAAAGTAAACACTTCCAGACCCTAATCCCACCTGGAAGACAGAACAGAGCCAGGCTTTTCCTGCTTCCCCCTCCCTGATTTCTCCCCCAAACATTCCCCCCTTCCACACCCTAAAGCCCCCATATATAAAGTCCCAGCTCACAACCCGTGGGCAGCCATCTTTCCCGGACATCTTTCCCTGACATCTTTCCCTTCCCTTCCCTTCCCTTCCCTGACATCTTTCCCTTCGCTGACATCTTTCACTTCCCCTAGGGAAAGGTGCCCCATGTGAAATAAATCTGTATCCCACTGAGAAGTCCATCTGTGCCTCGGTGCCTTCCTCCATCCACCCGCTCGCTCTCTCTCCAACATTCCTATCTATCAGATGGTGCCATGACTTGGATCTTACTTGAAGGGACCTCGCACGTAAAACTTTTGGACTCGCTTGTTGTTATTGGCCACTGCGAACACCACTGAGTCTTCAGCGGTGGGGTCTTACCTTCAAGTTCTGGGAGGCCATCAAGGGCTGTGGCAATAGCCTGTGTAATTTTGGGAGTCTCTTGGACCACCCTGGCCAACAACTCACAGAAGGTTTCTCCTGTCTGGCACTGTTTCTTGTTATGTAGCCTTTAGGTATACATATGGATTCATGGAAAGATACTGTATGTGTGATTTGTCATTAGGTTGTTGGACTAATATTATTCCCTCTTATTTTTTAAAACTAGCAGGGCATTATTTATCTCCCCTCTCTTCTCTCTCTCTCTCTCTTGCTCTCTCTCTCTCTCCTCTCCCTCCATTCACTGGCTACTCTGAGCTTCATCTAGGCCTCTCCATTCTTCTCCATTCCTGGCCCATCTCGGCCTCTGGGCCCACTACCTTGTTTCCTGCTGGCTGGTCACGCACCACATTGCAGAACCTCTCCCAACTCGTTTTTACTCGCTCGAAATCACAGCGGTGTGTGGGAGGTTCCACCCTGCCTTTGACTACAGGACGCTGTGGTCACTGGCAGGGACATGCACAACTCGTATTTCCCCTCCCCAGTGATTGCAGGACGCTGCCCTGGGGTTTGGGAATTTCTCATTTTTATGTGACCTAAGCCACACCTTTCTCTTCCTGCTCCCTCTCTCACTCCCTCTTTCTCTCTCTCTCTCTCTCTCTCTCCCTCTCTCTCTCTATCTCTCCTCTCCCTCCATTCACTGGCTTCTCTGTGCTTCATCTAGGCCTCTCCATTCTTCTCCATTCCCAGTCCCTCTCGGCCTCTGGGCCCACTACCTTGTTTCCTGCTGGCTGGTCACGCACCACATTGCAGAACCTCTCC